GTTTGAACCCACCAGCCACCTTGTGGAAGGAAGATGTAACAGTCTGCTTCCATAAAGATTTACAGCCTTGGAAACCCATGAGCAGTTCTACTGTGTCCTATAGGGTCACTATGAGTTGGAAACTACTTGATGACAATGAGTTTGGGGTTTTGTTTACATTTGGAGACACAAATCAATCTATAACAATACCTAAGCTTGAGAATCTCTGTTCTAGTGCTTTGCCATTAACATGATTATCAACATGACCATTTAGTCATTCATTTAACATCTACTCTCTGTCAGTCTTTGTTGTTGTTAAGTGCCGTTGAATCGGTTCCGACGCATAGCAAACTGGTGTAGCACTTTGGGCTAATGCACTGGACTGCAAAGTCATTTGAGCCACAAGGTTGGTGGTTCAAGCTCACCAGCTGCTCCTTGGAAACCCTATACAGGGTCGCTATGGGTCAGAAATGACTCAACAGCTCTAACAACAGCAAGTTAATCTTACATTCCAGGAACAGAGGACCCTAGCACCGTCAAGGAAGAAGAGCAGGAGCAGAATCCATAGAAGCAGCAACATCAGAAATGAGGACATGGAAAAATAGAGCATCTGAGGACTCTAGACTCATGGAAAGAGAAAGGCTGTGTGCTGGTAGCCAGGAGGCAGGCTTGCAGAATGTGCCCTTTGGTTGTTTAAATGTTTATATATTCCTCAGTGTTAACCCCCCCCCCCAAATAAAACAAAAAACAGAGTGAGTAGAAGCAAATACTGTTGAATGATGATGCACAGAGGGGATTATAATCATTGCAATGAAATGATGAAAAACCGATTTTCTCTCATGTAAACTATCACTCAATTCACAATGAAAACATTAAAAAAAAAAAAAAAAGAGTGAGAGAGAATAGCTCAAACAAATGACCAAGATGCAGAGCCAGAAAACATTTTGAGAAATAAAAAGTAGTGGAACTAACTGAAAAATAATTCAAAAGAATGATATGTAGGTACCTTCAAAGGATAGACAGAAAGATCAAGATAAGCAAGGCGAACACAGATAAAAATTTATAAGAATTCAGGAAAACACTACAAGAACAAGCAAACAAAATAAATGTAAATTTTGAAATAATACAAAATTTGCAATTAGAAATCCACAAGATTAATAGTAAGATTTCAGAAGTGGGCAACACATTGAAATGACAAAGGATTAGATTTGAAACAACGAAAGGCCAAATTATTGAGCTTGAAGATAAATCTCTCAATGCTAGTATACTAGAAGAACAATCAGAAAAAAGAATGAAAAGTTACCTACAAAAGATAACCAATAAGACAAAGCTCTGATTTCTCAGCAGAAACCATGCAGGCAAGAAGGCAATGGGATGACATATATCAAACTCTTAAAGAAAAAAATTGCCAACCAAGAATCATATACCCAGCAAAACTGGGTATATTGCCAACCAAAATCATATACTCTCAAATACAAAGTGAAATTAGGATGTTTCCTGATAAATACAAATTAAAGGAATTTGCAATGGCCAGACCAACTTTACAAAAAATACTAAAGGGCGTTCTTTGGACTGAGAACCAACAACAGCGGACAATAACCTGAGACTAACATATATGCCACCACCACTCAGAACTCAATCCAAATATAGAAGTATTTAAAATAAAACAAACCTACAAGACTGAAAATAGGGAACAAGAGGTATCAATTTATAATGAAGTCAACTACAAAGCAAAAAGAGAGAATAGTGTAGATATAGAACTTCCAAAAGGCAAGTAAGTCAAGTATATTTCAAGACAAAACTAACTGTTTTTAGCAGGAGGAATATGAATAAATTACAGGATAATCTCAATGAAATTATTATGCCTATCAAAATGAAAAAACGGGGAAATCCAAAAGATTTAGTAAACATGAACATAACAAATAAAAATGAAACGAAAACCCACAGACGAAATGGACTCAGCACAGTCATGTGCGACAAAGAAACCAGCAGCACCATAAAAAACACACAGCAAGATGACAGCAATCAAGTCATACTTATTGATCATTACAATGAATGTAAATGGATTAAATGCACCAGTCAAGAGAGCAGAGAAAACAGAATGGATAAGTAAAGAAGATCCTTCAATATGCTGTCTACAACAGACACATCAAAAATATGTGGACAGCCTAAGTGTCCATCAACAAAAGAATGGTTACACAAACTTTGGTAAGTACACACAATGGAATACTACAGAATGTTGAAGAATAACAATGAATCTACGAAACACCTCACCACATGGATTAATCTGGAGAACCTTAGGCTGAGTGAAATTACTCGATCACAAAAGGACAAATATTGTATGAAACCACCTATGTAAAAACTTCAGAAAGATTTTCTTGATAAAAGAAACAATATATGATGGTAATGGGCGGAGGGAGAGGGAAATTATTCATGATCTAGAGGGTAGACACATGTTAACAAGAGGGAGGTTAGCAGAGGAAAAATGAAGGTAGCAGAACACACAGGGAGGTAGATGCTGTTAACTGTTGGTACGTGGAGGGGATTGCAATCATTGTAAATGAAGCAAAGTATATGAACTGCTGAATGTAAAAACTGATGATCTGCTCTGTAAATCTTCACTTAGTTCACAAAAAAAAGTTTTAAATAAAACTCTATTCTATAAATCAGTCTCTTCTACTGCTCCTGTAGATACTGCTAATGTATGTTGTTGTTAGGTCCTTTCTGTCTCATAGCAAGCCTGTGCACAACAGAACAAAATACTGCCTGGTGGTGCATCATCCTCACAATTATTGTTATGTCTGAACCCATTGTTATTACCACTGTGTCAATCCATCTCTTTGGAGGTAGAGGACAGGCCTATAGTTATGATATTGCCAGAAATTCAGAAACTGACTATGCCAGGAATTCAGAGGCAAATCATTCTGAACATTGGGACAAATAAGTAGCACTTGAAACTGGTCTTAAGGGAGACTTAGGATTTTTTTAAGTTGAAAAGGTAAGGAAAGACATTGGAGACACAAAGGGTAGCATGAATGAAGTCTGGAAGGTAAGAAAGTAAATACTCTGTATAAGAATAGTAGATGGTTACACACAGCACAGCTATGTTGTTGTTCAGTGCCTTTGAGTCAGTTCCAACTCATTAAAGACCCTGTATAGGGTTTCCAAGGAGCAGTTGCTGGGTTTGAACTGCCGACCTTGTGATTCACAGTCCACAGCACCACACCAAGAGTCCAGGAAGGGCTTATATGTGGGGTGATAAAAGGCAGATATTTCTTAGAGAAGAAGAAATATCTGTGTTATGCAAACCATGTCTAGTGTTTGGTGGTGTTGTTGTTATGTGCCTGTGCAGTTGGTTTCTGAAAACAACCGGTCAGAAATTTTTGACTATTGAACATAGCAATAGTTTATGAAATAATCATGAAGACGATTACAGTTCTCATGCAGAACAAGATCATTATCATCAAATCTAATTTTACATTTACTCTCGTCACTAAATCCATTCACTCCTAGGACTGTGCTAAGTCTCAGGAGCACAGAGCAGAGTTCATTGTCATATTTGCCCTTAAGGAGCCTACTCATGGGAGATTTTTGCTGTTTATTTGTTGTTGTTAGTTGTTGAGGCTGCTTCAACTCATAATAAACCAACTATAACGTTGCATGGTCCTGTGCCATCTTTATCACCATTGGTGTGTTTTGCGTCCATCGCGGCCAGTGTGTCAATGCTTGTCATTGAGGGGTTCCCTCACCTTTCCTGGCTTTCCACCTTACCAAACACGATGTCCTTCTCTGGCAACAGTCCTGACAACCCGTGCAAAGTAAGTAAGTTGGAGTTTTGGACAATAGCTGTGATCCATAAGCTAATTTACTGGTTAATTTTCAGAAGTAGGTATCACCAGACCTCTCTTCCTAGTCTGTCTTAGCCTAGAAATTCCACTGAAATCTGTTCATCATGAGTAATCCTGCTGTTATTTGAAATATTGATGGCATAGCTTCCAGCATCATAGCAACACACAAGCCACCATAGTAGGGACAAACTGACAAGACCAGATGATGCATTCTCAGCGTTAAGGAGGACACACAAACAAAACAAAACAAAACAAAAACTTGGTTAGTTCTCCATGATTCTTTGGGACAACTAATTTATAAAGGGAAACTAAAGTAGTGGTTTTGAGTTGGGCTGCTAACCTCAAGGTCAGCAGTTCAAAACTATCAGCGGTTCGGCAGGAGAAAGATGATTTCTGTTCCCATAAAGATTTACAGCTTTGGAAACCCTATGCAGGGTCGCTATGAGTCTAACCAACTGCACGGCGGAGTCGTGGTGTGGCGCTGTGGGATAAAGCACGGGACTGCAAGTCTTGAACCACAAGGTCAATGATTCAAATTCACCACCCACTCCTTGGAAACCCTATACCAGGTCGCTAGGAGGCAGAATCGACTCAATGGCACTAAGGTTTCCCTTTATAAAAGTGGGCTGAGCTAATCGGTATTTAGTACACTAAGGCCCATCTCATCACCCTTAGCGACGGAACCTGGAACAAATTAAGAGAAGTAATTACTAGGATTTGCATCCACCATTATTATTTTCAGCAGCCACCCTTTCCCTGACTTTAGCCGCCAGGGGGCACTGCAGCCAAGAAAACACTCTTTCGGAAGAGGAGGAACGCGTCTATACGAAGCTTGTCCAATTTAGGGTCCCGTAGCAACGTGCCGAGACTAGATGAATCGTACGTCGCTGTCTCGCGAGCACCAGTACGGCCCTCCCGTTTCTCCTCCAGCCCGCCCCCACTGCGCGCGCTCAAACTCCTCCCGGCCGCGCGCGATAGGTGGCGCTGTCTGTGGCGTCGCATCGGCCTGGGCTGCCGCGGCGACCATCTCCCAGCTGGCAGTGCGGCCCGGCTCTCCGGCGGCAGCGAGTGCCACGTCCCAAGTGCTACGCGGAGGAGCGGAGCGGGCGGTGTGCGGGGGGCGGGGAACAGCGCGGATCCCGGCCACACCGATCGTCCGCCGCGGCCGCCGCCATGGGCTCCTCGCAGAGCGTCGAGATCCCAGGCGGGGGCACGGAAGGCTACCACGTCCTGCGGGTAAGGGCTCCGACGGCGGCCCACGGGGTGGCGTCGGCCCCGACGGGCCCCTTCCCAGGACAGGAAGTCCCGACCCCGCCATGGAGCGGCAGCCTTGGGCGCTGCCGGGGCCGGGGTTTGGGCAGGAGGCCTCTCGCATGCCGCCTCCCCAGGGCATCCCTGGTCCACGGCTCGGGGAAGACGAGCTGGAGCCAGAGGCAACTGCCGGCGACTGGGCGGGCGACGGCCCCGGGGGAGAGGGGCCGCGCTGGCCTTCATCCTGGCACGGTCTTCTCTGCTTCTCGGCCGGAGCTTCCAAAGTTACAAAGGACTTTGGGGCAAAGTCTTCAAAGGGGTGATGGTGAGCTTTTCGAGAACTCCCGAATCCCTCCGAGTGTAGGTGCTCCTTCACCTCGGCGCCGCCCGCAGGTCTAGGAAGGCCAGTTAGGGAGGAGACAAAAAGTGGGCTACGTGGACTTAGGTGGATTTGGCTTGACACGACAGTCACTCCCGGCCTTTCCTACGCTGCCCTTCCAACATTTGCTCCAGGAGGCGGCTCCCGTTCTCTTCCAAGACAGTCGAGGGTGTGGTGGAGATACAGATTTACATCCACATGTGTTTTCAAAAATAATCTGGGTAAATCACGAAAAACAAAATGTTACCAAGATGCAGAGAAACAACGTATTTCAAAAAGCTTTCGTTGGGGGTTGGGCGGGGGGTTTTGTTCTGTTTTGGTTTGTTTTTCGTGGGGCCGGAGGTTTAAAAAGAAGCCTTTGAAAGCTGTGTGCCGTGACACCTGCGTGAATGGTAAGATGATGGACCCCAGGCCGTATTACCTTTCGGGAGGTCGTAGTGTGTCAGAAGCGAGAACGTTTTCACTGGAAGTGAAAGTGTGTTTCGTTCTGCTCTGGGTTCCATGTTTTAGGTAAAACATCTTTCTTCAACTGTGTCACCCAGGTATCTGAGTGATACCCTAAGGCTTTCCAGTCTCCAGGGTTAATGTACTTAGTCTCTCCACTCCCTAAAAACCTCTCTTGAAGCTGTCTTGAAGCTGTGATCTTAGTGGGAAAGGATGATTTTCCCAGAAAGAAAAGGGAGCCTACAAATAAACCATATTATTTTCCTTTTCCCTTCAGCTAATGCAGTCAAACCAAAACCAAATCCGCTTTCCGAGACTGTAAATCTTTACGGAAGCGGAAAGCCTCGTCTTTCTCCCTGGAAGAGTCTGGTGGGTTCGAACCGCCCACCTTTTGGTCAGCATTCCGGTGCTCATCCTACATTGCCACCAGGGCTCCATTTCAAGGGTGCCAAGCTTGTTGGGAAATGAAAGAGCTGTCAGATCCCAGGTGTGAAGTGAAAGTTAATGGCTGTGTCTTCCTCTCTATTTAGTGTGATTTTGAGTCCTGGCGTGGCTGTATAGGATTAAGCACTGGATTAGCAAGGTCTGCTTGAACTGCCAGGTCAGCAGTTCAAACTCACTAGTCATTCCTCGGAAACAATGTACAGGGTCTCTAAGAGTCGAAACCGACTCTACGACGTTTTACAAAAACAACAGTCTGGAGTATAGCGCTTTGGTGTGCTGTAGGATAAGCACTGGACTCCTAACTACAGAATCGGTAGTTCAAACCCACCAGCTGCTCAGTGGCAGAAAGATGAGGCTGTCTGCTCCTACCAAGATTTACGGCCTGGGAAACCCTACTCTGCATGGAATTGAGTAGGAATTGACTTGACTTGTTGGCCAGGACTACTGGTTGATTCACACAGTGGTTGATTGTAATGATGAATGCATGCACTCAGGGAGTTCCATAAAACACATTAGTGTTAATGAATAAAAAGATTTGAGAGTGTGAAGGAGACATCAAAAAATGTCCCATTTAACAACTTTTTAAAAATTACTTTGTTCCAACATAAAACAGGTTTTAAGTGTATTTACTGTATAGGAGCTCCTCAAAAAATCAGTGTTCATATATATTCAGTAATGCAGATGTAATACTAATCTTTAAGTCTGATTTTTAGAAACTCTGGGGTCAACCTTAGTTACAATTTGCATCTGAAGCATTCAAAAAAAAAAAAAAACAACATCAACTGTTATTTAATTAGAGTTTTATTAGGCGATGGTGGTGTTGGTTATATGCCACAGAGTCAGTTCTGACTCAACAACCCTGAACCGGGTGTCCAAGACTGTAAATTTTTATGGGAGCAAAAAGCCTAATTTTTCTCCCAATGAGCAACTGATAGAGTTGAGCTACTGACTGCACTACAGCTACCACTACCAGGAGTTGAGCTACTGACTGCACTAAGGCTACCACTACCAGGGCTTCTAGAGTTTTATTAGGGGGAGATTTAAATAATGATTGTCTCATTTAGGTGAATTTTTTGTTTCCAAGTTTCTAAATTGCTTGCCCCTGAGTCTCTTAATTAGTTTTCTTTGTAATTGATTTGTGAATCCTTATCCTTGTTTTTAGAGGGAAACATGTTAAATCTGTAAAGATAAAACTGTCTTCCTTTCATCTGTTGGTACCTAAATGTGCATCACAATATCACACAGCTGTATTAATGAGCTTAGCAACAGAGCAGAAAAACCTTGGAGTAAAATCACCATGTTCTACAAGTTCTAGAATGATTTAATTAGAAGTTACTTTTCTTTAATAATCAATTCACTTGTCAGTTTCTTGTTAATAAAACTTGTATGACAGGGTTTTGAAATGCCAGTTATATTGGCATCTTTATCCATTGCTGTTTTATTGTTGTGTCAGAGCCCCTATAATTAGTTATAGTGAACATTCCATTTTTTTCCCATAGTTTTTTTTCTTATCCATTGTTAGGTTCTGCTTTAAAAATCTTTTGGAGAAACAGCTTTGAAATGGTTCCATGTGTTGTTGTTTTTTTACTATGTCCATTGTACTTTACTTTTCATGTACACCCAACTCATTTACCAAGTCATTATATAAAACTTGGCGTTGGGCAACAATGTAGAATAACCATATCACATCCTAAAATGGAGGAGGACTGCATCATTACATAACTGCCAAAGCACTGAGTGTTATGGCCCAGCCAAGTGGTCAATACTTTACCCAGCACAGCCAGTGGTACTCTTGCATTGTGGTGTTGATAATGAGCAAAACATTGGGAGAGTAGATTTTTTTACTATGGTTATAAATGCACAAGGTAGATGTAGGTGTATTTTGTATTTTATGCATATTGTATTAATACACATTTTCATGTTGTTATGATCATATTATATACCCAACTCCCCATCCCTACCCCATCTGGTTACCCAGAAGTAAACAAGTTAATAGTTGATGATGTATCCTTCTGAGTGTTTCATGCATTTAAAGGTATATACAGAGTTTGACAGAACTTAACAAGAACCCTTATGTTATTC